AGACAAAGTACAACTATCATTTTGCAGATGGAAAACAGAAGGAGTGAGCAGATTGCCAAAGGCTTTCAGAAGCTTGCTCAATGAAATCTCTGACAAAAACATGACACAAACCATTGCTGCTGGAAATACATTTTGGTGCCAATGCACTACCTTATCTATTACCCCATTACTCTAATATTGTGTCAGGTAAATTTTGAGACACAACACAGATGCTGGATGATAAGAAAAAATTATTATGCTTGTTATATTTTTTACCAAAGATACAACATATGGAAATTTGACCAGAGTCTTCCATCATACACTAAGATAGGGACTTGGTTTCTTGTGATAGCTCACAGTCCTCCTATCCAATCTTCTGCAATGATCTGGAGCGTTTATTTGTGCACTTAACTCAGGCTGTGCAAAGCTGAAAAATTAGCAAGTGATTAACACTACCAAAGTTAGGCACTAAGGTGTCTTATGTCATCAGAAAGGGCGATTAGAAAGGGCTGAGTGGTGCGGTCGCCATGCCTGAGGGACAGGATGCCACCCAGAGGGACCTGGACAAGCTCGAGAAGTGGGCCCGTCAGAACCTCATGAGGTTCAACAAGCCCAAGCGCAAGGTCCTGCATCTGGGTCAGGCGAACCCATACCATCACCACAGGCTAGGGGATGAAGGGATTGAAGGCAGCCCTGCCGAGAAAAGCTTGGGGGTACTGGTGGACAAGAAACTCAACATGACCTGGCAATACGTGCTTGCAGCCCAGAAAGCCAACCGCACCCCGGCAGGCTGCACAGGACCTTGTCCAGGCGGGTCTTGAATATCTCCAGAGAAGGACACTCCACCACCTCCCTGGGCAGCCTGTTCCAGTGCTCCGTCACCCTCAGAGTGAAGAAATTCTTCCTCATATTCAGATGGAACTTCCTGTGCTTCAGTTTGTGCCCATTGCCCCTTGTCCTGTCGCTGGGCACCACTGAAAAGAGCTTGGCCCCATCCTCCCGAGTCCTGTGTCCAGCTCTGGAGCCCTCAGCACAGGACAGACCTGGAGCTGTGGGAGCAGGGCCAGAGGAGGCCCCAGCAATGATCCGAGGGCTGGAACCCCTCTGCTGGGAGGAAAGGCTGGGGGAGCTGGGGCTGTTCAGTCTGGAGAAGAGAAGGCTCCAGGGAGACCTTACTATGGCCTTTCAATATGGAAAGCGGGCTTATGGGAAAGCTGGAGAGGGACTTCTTACAAGGGCATGTAGTGATAGGACAAGGTAATGGCTTTAAACTGAAAGTGGGTAGATTTAGACTGGATATAAGGAAGAAATTCTTTACAATGAAGGTGGTGAAACACTGGGACAGGTTGCCCAGAGAGGTGGTAGATGCCTCATCTCTGGAAACATTCAAGGTCAGGTTGGACGGGGCTCTGAGCAACCCAATCTAGCTGAAGACGTCCCTGCCCATTGCAGGGGGTTGGACTAGATGACCTTTAACGGTTCCTTCCAACTCAAACTCTTCTACGATTCTATGAGTTAGGTGATTCTGAAGCATGATCCAAAAATCCTGCTCTAATTGTAAAGCATCCAAGAACACTCCTTGGGGAAAAAAACAAACAAATAAACAAACAAAAAGCCTCACGATTTGTTTAAACTAGGAGGTTCCTTCTAAGCAGTTCTCTAGTGAGGCTGTACCTTAACTCCTGCTGCCACTGGAATTTAGGTCTGTCCATTAAGGCATCACAATGCATTTGGGAATCAGACCACAAAGTCTGCTCCTGAGATTATGCATCTAGTTGAACAAGGAGAGAAAGAGGCAAAGCTGCCACATGCAACAGCCCAATAGCTGGAGCGCTGACAGCAGAAGTGTAAAACTCCATCACAGTTCTCCTTCATCTTGAGGAGATTCCAGTTCTCACTTCCCACTTCTCTGGAACATGTAGGGTCATCAGATGAGAAACTACCCTGCCGAATTCCTGCCTTGGCTATGCGTGAGTCACCAGATCCTAGAGGATGAGCAGACACGACTGAAGTTCTGCCAGATATCTAGGGTATCAGTCTGTGGTCCTCTCTGGTCTTTTTCTGCATGCACTGCCAGGACAAGCCATGCAGACAGCTTGCTCCTAAAAACCTTTTTTCCCAAAGCTGCTTCAGAAGCAAGTTACAGGCCTTTCACTTCTGTAGTGCCATCACTCCCCATCACACGGTAAATGCACATCTGTGAGACTCCTGGAGAGGGAAGGCAAGATGGCAAAGTAAGACAAAATAGAGCCCATTGCCCACTCCTCGTTTGAATCTCCTGAAAAATTCACTCTGGCAGAAGCGAGCCCCATCTAGTCTCCTCCTCCTCGCTGGAAACTCTTGAGACATAAATAATTAGTGGACAGGCAATGGTTTTTCTATGGATGCACAAAAGCCCTAGCCCTTCAGGCAATCATGGAACCAACCACGTTTGTGCTAAGGAGCTGTATTGCTACATAGTGTGTGCATTGATATGAGAGCAGAAGGGCCACTGCAAGAACTTCCACGGCCTACCAAGCTGTCAAGACTCGGCACCACCATATGGGAAAATTATTGGCTTAAAAAACACAAAAGTACAAAATTCACCCCTGAAGAGAGGGACTGGAATACAAGACTTCAACACTCCTGCATGAGTGCCTAAACCAATTACTCACGCTCTTGCCTGCTCCTTTTCTTGCCCATGGCTCTTGCATTCTTCACTGCTGAATGTCCCAGGCTAAACTGGAGGGAGCAGGCAATTTCAGCTTTCTCCTCCCCAGACACATACTGGTTGCAATTAAGGATGTGGCAAATACACCTGTGACCCCCTCCTGTCGAAGCAGACAACGGAGCACAGGTTTGCCACATCTGAAACAACTGTTTGGTTACTATACATAAAGCAGGCTCCCACAGGCCGTGTTTTTGACTGAAGGCGGCCATCTCTGCTGTGCCTGATGCTGGGCTCAGAGCTGTGCTCAGAGCACTCCAGTGAGGTCAGGCTGTTCTGAGAATCTGAACGATGTTTAGATCGTGGTGGAGTCCAGTCAGCGCACGGTTCCCTTGCTTTCCAGACTACAATGCCTCCCTACGGGCAGCTGTGCCGGGCTCCAGAGGGACACGCGGGCGGAACACAGAGACAGCTTGCGAGCTTTACACACTCCCAATATTAAGCAGCTCTGGAAAGTGGGATTTCTGGATCATTTCCTTGCACCTAGGTGTCTCCCATTATAGGTTAGGTGACCAGAGAAATGTTCTGGATATCGCTGCAGACACCCCTGTAACTTAGCTACCCGCCTCCTAAAACAGGACTCACAGGAGTGTGGTGAGGATAAGCGTTACGTACAGTGAGGCCTAAGAAGATCATATAAATAAGACAGAGATAATTTCAAGATTAATCCTAGACACATCCGGAATCACATCAGTATAAAAAGAAGTTATACTGTATTCAGATAAAACAGTTTTAAACTAAAACTTGACATTTATATGTCGTCTTTCCCAAATGCTTTACAGACCACTGGAAAAAACACTTTATCCACTAACTGTGAGCTCCCTTTAAAAATACTACCACCAAAGACTGCTTAGACATTGCAACAGCACTGGAACTGAGACGATGAGCTTTTTCTGATATCTGTTCTAACCTGGGAGTTAGGGAGGTTGCATAGCACCAATAGCAAGACATAGAGAGGAAGGACCATTTACGCTGAAGATTGATTTAACGAGTTTTCATAAAGTCTTTTATGTCAAAGTAGCTTCTGATAGCCTCATCTAAGATGGTATCTAATATCAGAGTATGCAGCATCTCGTTATCTTTCCACCTTTACCATTCACACTCTCTCTGAAGTTAGCCAGCAAAACTGTGCTTTGGGGGAGCCACCGGCCTCAATTTTTTTTGCCTATTTCAGTTCTGACATTTAGATTTATCTCGAACTAACGGGAGGTGGGAGGTGACAATTTTATTTCATAAAAACTTCTGAAGTTTGGACCTGAACAGAAACGTATCTTTTAGCATCTTCACAAAAATAGTTTCGAAACATCTATTTTCAGATCTAAGTTACAGCGGAATGTCTCTAAGAGCTGAGATTGGCATGGGAGATCCATGCGTTTAACTTCAAATTCAACCTCGAAATCCTCATCAGATCAAAATACTCTGAATATACAAATGTACGGGAGCTTAAACCCAGACATCCTACATCCCAAGCCAGCACCCTAACTGCTGTATAACGTTCTGAAGAGTGATATGACTGAAACTATACCAAAAAGCTTCTTGAAAATACAAATAGCTTTACTTCATTAGCTATATTTACTGGAAAATGTTCCCACCTTGCTTCAGCTGTAAGCTACAGAAGCAAGGACAAAACTGAAAGCAAGCAACAGTTACCAGCAAGAACTTTCCCGTAACACTGAATGCTGGAGGAAAACATTGCCTCGCAGATCTAGGCCCAGATCAGCAGCCGTCAATCCCCCACATCACCCACGTTTTGCCTTCTTAAGAAAAAGACCACACAAAATGGCAGCTCTTGATGTGAACGTCCCAGCTGGGGACTCGGACTGCAGAGATCTTGGAGTTCTTTTGACAATTTACATAACTATATGCAGAATACGATGTTACAAACTGATTTACAGGACATTTTCCCTCTGCGCAGAGGTGCAGCATAAACAGCTCCATTAACCAACTCATCACTTAAGGTTCCTACAAGTCCATAAAGCAAGTGTTAAATAGACCTCGTATTGATCTCTTCAGTCAGGAACGAATTTTACTGCCAATACTCAGACACACGCTTCTAAGATATATGCAATCATTAATTATCTGTATCGGGATCAGAGGCTGGAAAAATATGAACGCAGCATTTTCACTGTTTCACGCCTGATTTCGCTAGCAGTGTAAGGGCTTACAGAATCAGGTGTGCAGCTTCACCTGTTAACCCCTCACTGCTGAACGCTGCACTTGGCAAATCAAAAATACAACAAACACACTGGAAATGGCAAATCACTGTTGAACGCAAGGCGGTTGGTATTGAGAGAATATTCAGAACGTGCCTTACCTGTGTAGTGCACCACACATGTCTGACCCTTCTTCGGAAACGTCCGTCCTGTTAAAATTATAAAAGGTTATTCTTTTATTTTCTCTGATTAATCTGTGCAGCTAGGCAGGTTTATCTTTTAGGAAGAAAATGCCAGACTGAGATTTGTAATGACTACACTTTATCAAATCACCAACACGCAAGACAGGAATGGGTATGGTTTAAGGTAGAAGGCCCCAGCTTGGCTCCTATTTAGTTGTTAGACCAAATAATCTTTTCTTTACGTAATGGCAACAGTAAAGCAGTTAGTTTCAAATAAAGTCTTAGTTTGACATTGTGAAAAAATCCATTTGTATCCACATTTCTAATGCCTTCCACTCAAGACAGCTCTAGCAACCATGTCTTTAATTAGCCAAGAAGAGATTTAAAAAATTTTCACATACAAAGGCAGTTTAATTTTGTAGCATTGGGCAACAGTAAAGCAGTTAGTTTCAAATAAAGTCTTAGTTTGACATTGTGAAAAAATCCATTTGTATCCACATTTCTAATGCCTTCCACTCAAGACAGCTCTAGCAACCATGTCTTTAATTAGCCAAGAAGAGATTTAAAAAATTTTCACATACAAAGGCAGTTTAATTTTGTAGCATTGGGCAACAGTAAAGCAGCGATACACTGAGTTCTTGTAATAGCCTCCTACTGAAAGGAAAAGAAGGCTTAAATTATTTTCTTGCCACTGGAAAATGAAATTACCATTTCCATTTTACCTGTTCTAGGTACTGCCAAAGGCACTAAAACCAGAGAAAGATTTTCCAGGCTCATTTGGGTGCCAATGGCATATTAAAACAGCTAATCTCAATTTCTCAAGTAATGTTGGCCAGGGGAGGGCTTCTCAGAAGAGCTTAAAAGTATGAATGAGACCAATTATTAAGGAACATCCTTTCCAGAAAGCTAGAAACTGTGGATTCGGACAGAAACTGAGGCTCGTATCTTAGTTGGCTTTCTAGCCTCTTTAGTCTGATTTAACACGGTAACTTAGGCACTACAGGGTGCATCACAGGGTATAAAACATCAAGTAACACATAAGCTACGTACTTAGGGCTTACAAGCCATAACCACCACGAGAAGTAAATGGCAGGAGGACAGGCCAACACGATGAACCGAGATTTATAACATGAAATCGAGAAGATGGTGCTTCCAAGCGGCATCCGAACAGCCCTGTTCAGCAGCTCGTACTGGGCTGCAGTATCTCCAGCTGCGGGCTGCACCGAGCGCGGCACAGCAGGCATCCAGTCAGGGCACCACTGTAACACCAAAGCGGGATTCACCTCGTTTGACTTTAGCCGTCTAAAACACAGGCAATAATCATACGCCAGTCTCCTGGGCTTCCCCTACTGACAGCCGAGAATCAGCAGTGCTCTGAGAGAAATCCAGCCCATCCAGCGAGAGGCAAGATGGACTACTCTCTGGAATTACTCTCTGGAGATGCCGACAGAAAAAACCTACAAGACTGCTTTAGACCAGCCATCCAACCTGAGAAAAGTGACGTGAGATATGATTCATTCTGTGATTCTGAGGTGAATCCTACCCTTGGTAAAACAGGTATTGCTCAAATGATGCACCATTATATAGAGACCTGAGAAAAGGGCTGTCAGACCTTACTGACACTTCTTCTGCTGTGTGAGCAGAACACCAGCAAAGTCCACCAAGCTCCATAAATTGACATCAAAGCTGAACTGAAAGCAGAGGTTCTCCAGACCACTGTCTAATGTGGTTTTAAGACAGTATTTAGACTCAGCTGGTTTTGATGCTGACTCGCAGCCAGGAGAGCTAACCCGTATCACCGTATCTGGAACAGCTCGCTGCTCACACACACAGCCTGGCCATTACTTAATCACCTCGTCACCGTGCTTCGGAGCTCAGTCGCGCCCTGCTCTCCGCCCTCAGCCCAGCGAGGCTGACGGAGCCCTGGCACAGGCTGCCCAGGGAGGCTGTGGAGTCTCCTTCTCTGGAGATATTCAAGACCCGCCTGGACAAGGTCCTGTGCAGCCTGCTGTAGGTGACCCTGCTTCGGCAGGGGGGTTGGACCAGATGACCCACAGAGGTCCCTGCCAACCCCTACTATGCTGGGATTCGGTGATTCTGTGATTTGCTCGCCCAGCGTTTTCCACCCCGGAAAGGTCCGCCTCGCCGGGCAGGGGAGGTGCGGCCCCGCC